CACTTCGTACCATCATCCCCGATCCTCCTTTCGTGGTTCCGAACCATATGGAGTTAGTAATCTCATGGATTATGAATGGGGTGTAACCTTCATGGGTCAATCGTTGTTGCCTTTCATTGTCCCTTTATTCGTGGTTGCCTTTTATGATCCGTGAACGGTTTACAAGTTTCTTAAAAACTTGTTGGTGGCTCCCTACTTTCCTTGTCCCTAATCGTATATGTCAATTCCCACTTCCTACGAGTGCCAAGCATATTCACACATGCTTTAACGTAGGCGCACTTCGAACGACGCCTACAATTTGGCGACTCCACTGGGGAGGATTCTTGGTTATTTATCGATTTGAGTGATCGATATTTAAAAAAGATGAGTGGATGAGACTTGAAAGATTTTTGAATAATATTCCTGTGATTAATTAGGCATTTTCGCATAAGCATAGAGGTTTTAACGTCGCATTTAGGTCTGTCTCGTAGGAAAAATTGAATAACTTGATTGCGAACGAAGGAAAACAGGGCACCAGTCAGATTTTCTAACTGTCGTGCCACGGCAAATGCTGCCGTGTCACGGTGCTGTACACCGTCATGCGGTGTACAGCACCGTGACACGGTACACTCTGCCGTGTCACGACAATCCTTAATTTCGTCCAGTGGCTTATTTTCTCTTCTCACAGTCAACTTCCTTTGATTTTTCTGAAAAAACGTGTGTGTTCTACATACGTCTTAGCCTCGGGGGATTTAAGCTCTATCAATCCAAAAACGCTCATGGAAATAAGGTTTCATTCGAGTTATTAAATCAACCCAAACCATGGAGTCGAATTCGATTTCATCACGAACTCGCGGAGCCGCCCGTTGGCATACAATTTCAAGACTTGAATAAAGAGGTTGTCCTTGATTAATCGTCCTTCTCTCCTGGACCAAGTACTGTGGAAAGGGAAATTAAGGATATTCATTTTTAATTATTTGACTCAACTCTATTCAACATGCATAGGTGGAAGAAGGTAGGAAGAATGAAGGTTGTGATGTGAAGAAAGATGATGTAGATAAAGGGATATGAAGAAATTAGGAATAGACTGTACCCCCAACTTAAATGACGGAAGAACCGACTCATGCATGAACCTAAGACATGGTCGTGGTGATATATCCTCAAAGTGTGTGCTAAGACTAGTGAGTGTAATGAGTGTAGGTGACATGTTAAGACTCTTGTATAAGACCGTGTGGCTAGACTATGTGACTAGACTCGATTAAGGACTTAACGAGGTATTATTTTTAATAAAAATAATCGAGTTGATTAGCAAACTGTTTGATTAGACACAAGGTGATGACTTGAGTAATATACCGAAATGTCGTCAAAATGACAGGACTGGCGCCGCACTGTGCAGTGTAGCGCCAAACGACAACACTATCGCCAGGCGCTACACTCCACATAGTGCGCTGCAATCCAAATCTCAGCGCCATTGCTGTAACGTTGATCTGGGACTGCTTTCGGTATTATTACTCTACAGGGTATGCCTAAAGTCGTGCTAGGTCAATTCTGATTAAATTATTAGACTTTAATTACTCAAAATTAATTAATAATTTAATTAATTAATAATTTAATTAATTAAGCAAAATCCTTTTAGCCATTAATCAGTTTATTTAGTCTTAATACAAGTCAAACAAACGGTTAGGAAAAGCACATAGAGTATGCACGACAAAGAATGCACAATTAGTCAAGTAGGCACAATATGATGCAATGAGTTTGCAACCTAACCATGGCTCTAGTTCTCTAAAGTTCGGGATATGGGTTAGTCAAAGAGGGTCCATGGTTAATTGTCCAGATGCACCGCGCGGAAGCCTAACCGTGAAGGGTTGGCGCGAGTGGATGGGACACCGCGAGTTAAGAAAAACTCGCTTCCATGGTTTGGTGAATTCAACATTCTTGGATGTACCCTTTGTTGCACAGAGCGTTCAATCAGGTAGATGGAGCATGAATTCCTAGAGGGTTATGTCCATATGTAGAACACATATGAGTTTTAGAAAAGTGAGAAAAACTCAATCAAGAAGTAGGATCGAGCAAACAGTGCTAAAACTAGTCGAAATTAGAATGCATATTTCTGGCTCGGTATTGGAAGAACTTGGCGCTAGAAAACAGAGGCCGGCGCCAACAATTTGGCTTTGGCGCCTGGCGCTAGAGTCAAATTAGTGGCGCTAGACGCTAGTTCCTACGTGCCTCAGCAGCTTTCTGTGCTCGATAAAATTTTCCAGTTTCGCGCAGCATTATTTCGATCCTAGTTGTGAAAGATATTCCTCAAATTTCCTACTTGTAAAAATCCTATGTTTTAACTCATTACGGATGGTCTTTCCAATGAGATATTTTTTATGCATATGACAATAATGTTAATCAAAATTACGCACATGAAATACTTAGAACTTTTCGAGTCTCATCCACTCATTCTTAGTCATTGCTGAAATAAATTTCAGGAATTAAAATAGAAATCCTCCCCAGTGGAGTCGCCAAAAACTGTAGGGAATATTTCAAGCATTACCCCTAGCTTGAACCCCACTGTGATCCTACACTTAAGCGTGGTGGCGTCCAAAGGGAAGGAAGCTAGAGCAAAAGAATCGCCAACAAGTTTTAGGAACTTGTAAACCGTTCACGAGGTGAAGGTTACACCCCTTAACGATCCAGGAGATCGTTAACTCCAATAGGTCTAGAACAATGACTGGTAGTTCGGGGATGAAGGTACAAATCCAACCTAAAAGCGATTGAACCTGCCTTAATAATAGGCCTCTACTTTATTCTGATCGTATTCATGTGCGCTTTCTGACTAACATACAATCATTAGATTCACCCTAAACCTGTTTATCTATGTTGGTTGAATATTAATGCACAAATAAACTATTATTGGCATCACTTGAATTATAATCAAATTAACCCTAAAGAAGATTTCTAATTATCTTATTAAGCGTGATTACAAGTACAAATTCCCTTTAAACATGCATAAAAGGCGTGATCAATCAATAACAGTAGATATCATATCGAGCAACATAATCATCATAATAATTATAATAATCATAATTAAATAATAATTATCATAATCATAATTAAAATAATCATGTTAACAATAAAGCATAATACTAGCAAGATTCTAGGCATGATACTAACAAGATTAATAACAAACCCTAGCATGTCACTAAGCATAAAAATCAAAACTTTAACCCTAACATGATGCTAACATGAATATTAGGAAGAAAAGGAAGCATTGCAGGAATCACAATTGTCATATTTGATAATAGAAATTATAGTTGTTACCCTAAACATGATACTAGGAAGATCAAAATGCCTTAACATGACACTAGGAATCATAATAACAGCCTAGACATGATTCTTATATTATAATATCAATAAATCAATTAAAGCACTTACTTGGATGCTTCGTATCTCTTTCTAATAACAAAATACACGCGTTAGTAACTTCAAGGAAAATAATAAACAATTAAATTAAATAATTGAAATAGAGATTAAGAAAGTTTAGACTAGATTTGGGACCAAACCCTCAGAAATCAAACCTTTCACGTCTAGGGCGAAGGCAACTTCGAACAACGCTAGGTGTTTTCAGATCTTTGAATGCGGAATTTTGTATGCGAAAGGGTTGGTTTAGAAAAGAGAGAGAGAATAAGCTTTAGCTTAGAGAGAGAAGAGAATTAGAAAATTAGAGAGTTGATGGGAATTGATCATCGAAAACGGAGATTTTAGGAGGCTATTTATAGAGAAAATCAGCCAGGCGGATAGAAAAACAAATCAGAGTTTCGACGAGAATAAAACAGATTAGCGCCAGACGCTGGACATTAGCGCCAAGCGCTGAAGGTTAGCGCCAGGCGCCAAGCCATAACGCCAGGCGCTAATGCTTGTCGTCAGGCGCTAATAATCAGTTTCACGCGTTTTCTTAATTTTGATAAATTTTAGCCGTCTAGAAGGGCAAAATCGTATTTTTCTTAAAAACACTACTTTTATTCTGATTAAAACTTAAAAAGTCAACTAAAGTCAATTTATCAATGCTAATTGAATTAGGAATGAAAAGAACCTTCTAGAAGAATCTAGAAAACTAAAATCAATTCTAATTGCATTAGGAATGATAAATCAATATTAGGCCCTCCTCTAGATCATTGGGCCGCACATAAGGACCAAACCGGGCCCAGTTTAGTAATTTGGCCATAACTTCCTCATTATTCATCGAAATTGGGCTTATAATATATCGTTGGAAAGCTCTTTTCAAACCCCATCTAATTACACCATTATTGGACCCTTGTTATGGACCAAACCAAACTGGATTGGCTGTTTTCTTAAAATAGGTTTTCAAAAATAGAGAGAAATAAAAGAATTAAAACTAACCGCAACACTAGACTTTCCACACTTTCACTTCATTCGAAGTAAAAGGTACTCATCACTGGGTTTGGTTTTGGGGAGACACAAATGGGTGTCTACAGGCTGCAATGGACAAGATAAAAGAACAAATAAGTAAGATCTCTGAAGAGTTCACCTATGTGGAGCAACCTGTCACCTCTTCGTCCATAAGGGACAAGCTTCCTGAAAAGTTTTCCACTGCTGACATTCCCAAGTTCAAGCCTACCGATAATCCCCTATTCAACTTGAAGGCTTTTTCTGCGACCATGACTCTTAAGGGATTAGATGTGACACTCTTCCCTACCGTGTTCCCTCTTTTCTTGGATCATGCCTGTCAACAGTGGTTCTACTCACTAGTAGAAAAAGTGTTATTTGTAACTGGCGAAATTGACTTTTTGTAACTGGAATTGTTGGTTGCGAATGCCACCGGGACAACTAATGAGAATTATTCGTAACCGGCTAATGTTAGTTACAAATAATGTACTATTCGTAACTGGCTTAGCCTAACGCTAGTTACAAAAAGTCTATTTTCAAAGTTAGAAAGCGTACTATTCGTAACTGGCATTAAGTTATGCCGTTTACAATTACGGATATTAGTAACTGGCAAATCTCAACGCCGGTTATAAATATATTTTTTTTAATTTTTTTTTAAAAAATACTATTAGTAACTAGCATTTGATTACGCTAGTTACTAATAAATAAATAATTTTTTATATAAATATTTGATTCGAATACAAGAATGATAATATATCCTACAAAACGACCCATCGTCAAATGGGTTACAACCTGTTACAATTCAACCAACAAAATACGTACTCTGAATACTTCCATATATAACTTAAATTCACCCATAACATACAATACAAACACTCCAAATAATTCCACACAACTTGAATTATTCATCCACAACAATACAATGCAACAAAATTAACTATACTTTCCAAAAAGCAGCGCAATTAAAACTTGAATAAAAAAATAAATTGATTAATAATTTAGAAATGTAATAACAATAACTAATAGGCTAAATAAAAGTAGATATAAAGAAAAGTGTTATATTGTTTTATTAAGTTAAATGAGATTAATCATAACATCGATTAATAAGATAACTAGTCTTTCAACAAAAAATTAAGCCTTAAAAACTTAGCCCATTATTCTCGAATCTTATCCAATTCTACATCTTTGTAGGCAGCAAGTCTGGCCAAATACTCCTGCAAATATAAATAAAAAAAACATGTTTATTATAGTTTTTAAAAATAAAACATCAGCCAAACTACGTATAAAGCATTTTAGCTTGAAAAGAAGAGGCAAATTCATCACTAATCTCTTTCAAATTACCCTTGCAATCGCTAAGTTGTTTGTGATGGCATAGGCACTACATGTGTCTTTATGCTAAAGTCTTGCCCTATACATGTGTGTCATATTTCTCCTACTTCTCATTTACTACTTAATTTTTGGTTGATGTAGCTTGACAAGATGCGTTGAACTTTCACTACTGCATCTGTCAGTGCAATTTTGCAGGTGTATAGAATATAAAATATCATTGTTATCTCTTACCAAATCAGGGTCATTGACACAGAGCTCAAACGTTACAAACAAATTGCTGGAGAGAGATTGCCCAACGAATAGTCCTGTAGAGTACTCCCCTGCCTAAGCTATCAAAATTGCAGCCCATAACCCTACTATAATATGGGGCATTCAGAAATCATGACTGATCATCTAACTAACAAACATACAAGGGATCAAAAGTTAACCAATCTTACGCTTAATAGTATCTGACAAGAACTACAATCTAGTGTAATGTTGACTACAGATAACAAAAAAAGTCTAACTGAGAAATCAGTTGTCAGCTAACACAGGCTGAGGGATTACATACTAGAAGCAACCTTAGTTTTCTGAATTTAGTCCTGAAATTTCGTGCATATCTTAACTTAAATAAAAAAAAGATCGAAAACATATAAATTATAAGTCAAATGAAAGGTTTACCTCTAACAAACGAGGAATTAATTAGCTCCATTTGATTTGTTGAGGAAGATGGGGAAGGTTCTTCATCATTTTATATGATCTCTTCATCTTGTAAGTCAACCAAAATCCACCATATTTTTTATTTAACAAAAAGGAGCAGACAATATTAAGTGTTAGGAGAAGATCGAAATGAAGCTCGGATTATTTTTGGGGAAATTATGTACCAACTGTCAAAAGCACAGCCTAGTCCACCTATATTTTGGAACTTGCATACTCAACCAGGTTACAATAAAGAATACAATATTCTCTACACTAGAGCCTACAAGGACAGATTTTTGGGCCTAATTAATCTTACAATTCAACAAACAAATTATTCAAGTCATCAATCAAAATTAGCCTGACAACCTTAGCAACAATATACATACTTTGTACCAATATAACCCATCAAAATCAAGGGTTAAAGACCTGTTATAGCTGGTGCCACATGAACAGAACAAAGCAAATTTTCAGATTATGGTTTTAGCATAATAAAGTTCATAATAGGGGCTTTAAACATGAAATTAACCATATAAACTAATATATATATCTAGGTTATTACATCCTTAACATGATCCCACAAAAAAATTAAGCATGAAAGGGAGCAAAATCTATCAAACCACACCCGTAATACATGGCTAGCAGGGACAAATTAGAGCAGTGTTTTTTTGTTCTTCAAGTGCACAAAATCATCTTAAAACTCATCAAAAACACTTGTAAACCATACCATTACATTAGGGGATAATAACCTAATAAATCCCAACAAGATTCTAGGATTAAAAGGTTGAAAATAATCATATACAAGGCATTTAACCCACACAATACAAGCACAAAATTACAGCAGCTCTCTATTATGTTCTAACCCAATTTTCCACCTCAAAACTCCTATCATAATCATGTGAAACCTTTTAAAAACATTCATAGAGACATACACAACAAGTATACATGATTTACACATGAAAATAAGCATTAAAACATAAGAAAAACTTTAGGAAAACCAACCTAATCCCAGTATCCCACGGTACAACTAGTAGCAAAAAAATGGATTTCTTCTATTCTTTAAACATAATACTCCTAAACCTCTTTATTATCATCAATCCATTGCTAAAACTAAGTAAATCCTAATCTTAAACATAAAAAAAAGGCTTCAAAACCAGGTAATTAAACCATTAAATTTTTAATGCAAAGGAATTCCATTCGCAAGAATAGCGAATGAAACCTAAAATCGGCAGCATACAACATCACCACAAGGTCGACCACATCGTTTTAATTAAATCGAAATCATGAAACCTAATTTTCTTGGTTTTTAATCATCCAATTTGATGTGAAATTAATTAGCTAACACAAATCAATTCGAATATTAGGGCTATTATTATTGAATTAAGAAATGGAAAGTTACAAGAACCCTAATTTGAAAAATTACATACCTCTAAACAACAATATAAAACCACTTTTGCTGAACCCAAATTCGAAAAAACCAAAGAAATTCTTATTGGAACGAGTTGGAGCGAAGGAGAAACTGTACGTAGGAGAAAGAAGCTAAGTTGCGCAAAAGTGAAAAAAATGCTAAGTCTGTGTTTGCTTGCTCTAATTAACTTCAAAAAAAATTCAAAAAAAATAAAATAAAATAACTTCAAAAAAAATATTAATATTTGTAACTGGCATTTTTAAGTTAGTTACAAATTTTTCGGTCAAAGTTTCTTTGATTTATGGCGTTTGTAAGCTAGTTACAAACTTTTTGGTCAAAGTTTCTTTGACTTAATATTTGTAACTGACATTTATTTAGTCAGTTACTGATAAGACTTTAAACAATAAAAAACCACATATTTGTAACTAACATTTACTACGCCGGTTACTAATATGATAAAATTAGTAACTGACATTATCTTAGTCGGTTACTATTGATGCTTTTGTAACTAGCATAATATACGCCAGTTACTAATAGGGCGTTACAAATAGCATTTTTCTACTAGTGACTCTCTGGAATCCAAACATGTTGCAACTTGGGAGGATGTTACTGAAAGCTTCATGAACCGTTACAAGTGTAACATTCAAGCCAAGACTGCTGAACGTGAACTCTCCATTCTCAAACAGAAGGAAAATGAAGGCTTCAACTTATCTAAGCAGGTGGAGAGAAATAGCTGCACTTTTGGTGGATCCACCCAAGGAGAAAGAGATGGTTCGCCAATTTATTGTAAGTCTGACTCATAAGTACAAGCAGCACTTGAAGTTTTTGCCTTTGAATACCTTCGAAGCTGTGTACGATATTGGGATCAATATCAAAGATGAACTGATGAAGACTACTGGTAGCAACAACAACAACAACACTTGGAAAAACAAGAAGAACGACACTCCTTCTTGGTCTTCCAAACCCAATAATGCTACCAACAACGTCAATGTTAATGATGTGTTAGCTCTTAATGCTCCCACTCAGAGATTCCAAAGGCAAAGGAGGGTTTACACGCCTTTGGGAATGAGCTACGATGCTGCTTTTGATTGCTTGCATATATGCCAATTGCATAGTCAAGAACTGCTAGCTATGACCCCAATGCTCATTGCAAGTTTCATTAACGCAAATGTCATACTACTGAGAAGTGTTGGAGGTTGAAGGATGCAATCTAAGACCTGATTGATGCTAATTAATCAACTTCCTGTCCCTCCAGGGGGCAAGAAGCCCAATATTCAAACAGGTCCCCTTTTGATGCTTTGGCTATCATGGGAGATGAAGTCTCCTTTGATCCATCAATACTCATTCAACCTGTAAATGAACCTCTACCAGAAGTTGTATTCGTTTCAAACTGTGAAGAAGTGAATAATGGAATTTGGGATAGTGACGATGAAGACGTCTATCTCAAAAATATAGTCTGTTCACCTCTTGGCACTAGTGAAGATGTTTGGGGAGACCTTGAGGTCAAAATTCTCACTAGAAATGGACGGTTGCAACAGCCTAGTCCACCTCCACCTCCATCGCAATCACAACCAATAGTTAATCCCATCGTGTGAACATCGATGTGATCAAACAATTACAAAAGACTAAGGTGGAAATGAATGTATGGAAGCTTTTGGCCACCTCCCACAAGCATCAAAAGGCTGTGATGAATGCTCTGGTGAAAATAGGAGTTGATATTGATATGACTCCTCAAGGGCTGGTCAGCTTTCACACTACTGAATTGACAAGTACCATTAATCTAATTTCCTTTTCTGACAAGGATTTGCCCTCGGAAGGGGACCAACATAACAAGGCCTTACACCTTACTGTGGTGTGTAAGTAGATGAATGTTCCTATGAGCCTAGTTGATAATGGCTCAGCAATCAATGTATGCCCACTCCGCACTTCAAAGAAGTTGGGCATAAAAATGAAGAATTAATCCCCACTAATCAAGGGATTCGTGCTTACGATAATACTCGCCGCCAAGCCGTGGGTACTATCATGTTAAATATAACTGATGGAGCCATCAAACGTCGCACCAAGTTTCAGGTGGTGGACATTAAGGCTTCTTTCAATTGCTGTTAGGACGTCCTTGGCTTCATGAGCTAAAGGCGATTCCGTCATCACTTCACCAAAAGGTGAAAGTTATAGTTGGAGGGATTCCAATCACCGTTGATGCCTCCCCTATGCGCATTCAAGTTATTGATACTCCCATTGTCCATGTTGAACATGATGAGGAAGATGAAGATCTCTGGGGATTTTTATTAGACAGTGTTCTCATGATCGAAGAAGAGGAGAAGTGTCACCTCGACTTTGATCCTTATTTGAACACCAATGTTAATACCATTATGAAGAAGTAAGGGCATTTCCCAAGAATGACCCTCGGACTCAAAAATAAAATGGCCGAACTTTGGGGCCATCCTGGTGCACCTAAGAAGGATACCTTTGGCTTGGGATTCAAGCCAACAAAAGAAGATATGAAACAGGCTCTCCTGAAAATGAAGGCTCGTAATAATGCTCGAACCATGAAGACGGAAATGGCCATGGATCCATATCTTTTCACTCTCAACGGCTAGTACATCAAAGAAGGGGAAAACTTCCCATGCTATGAATTCTCTGAGCCTGAGATGTTCCTTGATTGTGACTTTGTTGACGAAGGCGATGAGTTCTTCACAACTGAGAAACCAGCCAGTCCAAGCTCTAATGATATGAACATTAATCTTCTTTTTGGACTAAAAAAGAATGAACCCAAGCCTGTCTGCAATGACGATTCTAAGCTCATTCAAGCTGTCATATCACGCAAAAATTTTGACCCCTCTAAGTTAATTGTCCCAGCTGATGATGTTTCAAAGGGATGGCGCAAGACAGTGAAGATCACTACGCCAAGTGGAGAAAAGTTGGAAGTGACCCCTGGCGAAGGTAATATGTTTGATGAATCTGAATCGTCTGGGTCCGAGTCCGAGTCCGAGTCTGTAGACGAGTCTTTAGGATATGAGGCCGACCCCCTTTTTGCCATATAGTCTAATGTAGTTCCCTTTAATGTTGAGCCTCTTGTTGAATCTCCTCTCTCTATCCCAAATAATTCCAGCGAGGTCGCAACTGACCTTGCTCTCCTTGATGTAATGACCAATGAATTCAGTGAAATGAGTACTGTAGACATCTACTTTTGTCATCCTGTCCCGACAGGAAATGCGATGACGATAAATAAAACCATCTTTGTGTTGGATCGAAGTGAAAAATACTTATGGATAACTGGTTAAGACACAAAAGACTAGCCCAAATTAAAGAAAAAGCCAAAACAAAGGTCTAATTAACTAAACCCGATCATAATTAGGCTTAAGCCCGTGCTTAAACCCTAATATGACGAATTTAGGAGCGCCTAAGTTAAATCTTAGTGTTGCCACAGAAAAAGTCGCGCGCATCTCAAAGAGTCGCGCTAGCTGCCGCACGCAACTAATTCAGTTGCGCGCGACAGCCAGCGCAACCTCAAGAGTTACGCTACGGAAGATTCAGAATTATACGGAAAATATAAAATCGAATCTTACCACAAAGCCGCGCGCAAGACAATTAGTTGCGCTGCCCATAGCAGCGCAACCCAATTACTTGCGCTGGGATGTTGCGCGTGACACCTGCTGCGGCAGAATGCTCGAAACCCTAAACCTAATCATTCCCTATAAATACGAGCTTAGACCGAGCTTAAATAGACAGAAATTAACCTAAAACTCTAGCGAAATACTTGTGAACTTGTGCAACCTAGCCCTATTGTCCTAAACACTCATCCTTTTGATATTTTGTTACTACAGTGGAGGTTCGCCAACAAGGAGTCTATAAGTGTTATAAACGGAGATCTAGCAAAGAGAAGTGGTAAATTCCCGAGCACTTAGTTAAATCACCTTTATTTTCTTGTTTAAAAGGACTTTAATTAATTAATTAGTGTTGTTTGATCATCTTTAAAATAATTAATTAATCAATTCCACATAGTATCTTGCGTTAAATAAAGATTAGAATTGAATTAAATAATTGTTGGTTGATCACTTAAGCCAAGGCGAATCTTGTTTATTTTCTTGTCCTTTTCACGAATTTGATTAAATAAGAATAACGACATTACGATGTAATTCCTACATGAATTAATGCTTGTAAATAAAATCAACTAACATAGTTTTAGGTATCGCGTTGCATATATTGTTTGGTGATGAAATTGTAAAAAAGAAAGAGCTAGTAGAGGCCGTACTAGGGCTAGGAAAACAATTTCCCTCTAAAAGGAACGTTATTTTAGTACCCTCGCTCCCGAACTCATTTCTAGTTTATAGACCAATTTGGGCATGGTTAAACTTATGATTTGTGCTAATTATTCCATGAATTCCACATGGAAGAAAGGCATGAACGAGGTTTATGAGTTTTTCTTAAAACTCATTGGCGACTCCTACTTGTTTCTTACAAAAAAGCGTGATAATAGAATCAATTCTAATTCAAGGTCCCCCAAACAGTCAGGAATTCAAATCCTACTACACCCTAACAAGTGTAAAGTCCTAGGCTTTTAAGTGGCCAATAAGGAAAGTACCCCTTACGATGGGATCACCCTCTTACAGTGGCGACTCCACTGGGGACTTAGAGGTTACATGATTAATTCGTAGTTATGGTCCAAGGTTTCCAACACTAGGTTGCCTATGGGTTGTAACGAGAATGAACTTGGATAATCTCTAGTTAGATAGCGAGACTTGAACGCATAATATCTTCCTTTTGCACAAGATTAAAAACCAAACAAGCAACATTGCATCATTTATAAGCATAGCACACTTAAACCATTGGGGATTGGCTCATTGACTAGGAGTCGTCAACACTAGGCGCCTATCCCGAAATCAATAACAATCATCCCACCCATATCACCAACAAAATGTTAGGAGGGCGATGTCATGAGTCAACACGTTGAGTGATTGATTTGTGCGACGTTTTTTAAGATATGGTACCTTTGGACACCCAAGCCTTTTTTTACCTTAGAACGGCATTGCGTGAATCTTGACTTATAGCATGCTTATGTGACTATATGCAACGTGTTAGGATAGTCTTCTTTTTCTCTTTTTAGTTTGGTATAGGTTCCCAATTACGAAGTTGTCTCTTCGTGATTTAGCGTCACATTCAAAGGATAGCATAAAAAAAATCAAGTAAAAAAAATCGAATAAAAAAAACGACGACAAAAAAAAAACGATCGAACAAAAAAAAAATTCTACGAGCTGGTGGCGCGCGCAACTCAATGAGTTGCGCGACCCCTCCCAGCGCAAGTGATTTTGTTGCGCGCAAGTGGGAGGGGTTGCTGCATTTTTGAAAAATCAACATAAAAATAGTCCCTTGAAAACATGTATGTTCTTTCTCATCATCTTTCCTTCTGTTATTGTCTTTACTAGCCTAATGTTCTCTATCAATGTTGTAATAAACCTGCAGCCTTAATAGGTTGAAAATAATTAATCTAGTTCTCTATCCCTTGGGAGGAAGCAACTATTTGTCATTAGTTTGTATGAAGCAAAACCTATTTATTTGAAAAATTCAATCTACATGCTAAAAAAAAATAGAGTTACTAACAAAGACTCGAGTAAAATATTTTTACCAGTTGCTTCACATGTAGCCAGTGGAGATCTGCAGCAGTGGACGTTTCGATAGAGTCCATCTTTAGAATCTCTTCCTGATTAAGCGAAAAGGCCACACACCACCAGTGATTGTTTAAAACAACAGGGACAAAGACCTAAATAAAATTCATGTTTTAAACCACGTTACTACTGAATAAACTCCATACTAACTGCCTCTTTGTATTTACGACAGAATTAGATGAATACATTCCGTACCACGTTAATCAGGTTCGGTGTTAAACCAAACATCTGACTACTAAACACACGTGTGACCCGGTCCAACTCTTTTGAATTCTTCATTTTCAAAACACGAATCTTGAAAAACAAATCACACTTTAGTATCCTATATATTAAAATAATTACCAACATATGAACTCTAAATTTTTTAAGACAAGATATACCACAAATGCAGGATCCAACATGAACCGTCGACTACGACCTTTAAAGCGATGAGCCCAAACCTTTTCATACAATTTACCAGCAACCCTAACATACTATACACATCATGGTGATATCAAATCAGATAAGCTTTTTACTTTATTAACAGTTGAAAAAACATAACTTGTTATCGTGTACTACATTACCTACTTGGCCCCTATTCAGCGCTACACCAGAACACATACTAAGAGTTGCTACCTCTCCATCACACCTTAGCATGACCGGATCTTCTTAACTAATAATAAAGTTTATCAAAGTATCATGACAATAATAAAGTTTATCAAAGTATCAGAACAATAATACGCAGACTAAATCACTATGGACAGAATACTTACATGTTACTATGCTGCCTCCTCCTTGGGGAGAAATTTGTGTTCACTCTTACAAAATCAAACAATGGTTGGCAGAGGCTTCGATGCTTCCTAGGCCGCCATGTGATTACATACCCTTGAACTATTCGACTGGGTGTTGCCGTTGTCTTCCGTTTCCGTTGACTTCTTTCAACCAAGGTCGACGGTGAACCACATTCATCAAACCCTTCCTCCTCAGAACTGAAACTTATCTCATGATCACTTCTCTCCTGGATTTCTAGCCCTCGTAATAGGATCCTTTTCTGTTTTTCCTCCTCACTTTACAACCTCTCTTTTTCCTCCCTCGCCAACCTCTCTCTCTCCAACCTTTCTGTTTCCTCTCGCTCTGCCTCAAGCTTGTCCAATTCCTCTTGTTCCTTCTCCATTCTATCTCTTTCCTCCCTTTCAAGCCTTTTCTTCCCTGTCATGTTTCTCCGTAGCCTCCATTTCTAGCCTCTCCCGCTCCTCCATCTCCTTTCTTTGTATATCAATTTCCAGCTCCTGCCTTTCAATCTTTTCCTTTTCCTCGTCATGCTTCTCTTAAGCCTCCCTTTCCTTCTCAATCCTCTCCCGTTCCTCCCTCTCCTTTCTTTGTCTCTTAACTTCTTCCAGCTCCTGCCTTTCCTTCTCCTGTCTCTCCTTCTCCCTTCTTTGGGTTTCCTCCCACTGATTGTTTAGCACAGGTGTGCTACACATTAAGCCACTTGAGATGTAATAAAAAAATCTATGTCAGGGACAGCAGCAGAAGAGGAACCTTGCATAACAGACGATGTAATCATAAGAGTAAATAACATTAACTTTTTACTTTGATTAACAATAATAAAATCATCATTATTAATATTGTAGATGTATAACAATTAATGTGAAAAAGAGATGATGGGTGTCAGAGTAAAGGGATGTATAACAATTACTGTGAAAAAAGAGATGATGGCTTTTTCATGTACATAAATTTTTTTGCTGCCTTTTGTATTGACATAGAGACGCTCTCAAGTGATTGACAAAGAACTAGGGCTTGAAGCCCTTCCATTTCACAAATCACAGCCTAAATATAACGGATTTTTTTAAGCCTTTATCTATGGTCTTAAGTGAGCAGAGCTTAAGTGAGCATCATAATCCCAAATTTCCAATATAGACTATGTAAGTGGTTGTTTCTATATCCCTAATCTAAAACCTCCAAAAAGTAAAGTTCCATAGAACATACTCCATATGCAGGCATTTAGCGATTGACAATAAGTTGCCTCAACAAAGCACACTAAGACCTTTCAATGGAGCTTTACCAAAATTACAACATATCAAGCTATATCGATCCACCAAAATAAACTACAAATCCTCATAAAATAGTAGGGTTTTTCAATTTTTTTTTGAGGAAAATCACCAACTAATGTCCTTATATGCAACACACGCCTTATATGCATGTACCCAAACCACATAGAAAATTTTCATTTACCAGCCAAAAAAATTGTGGGAGCTAAGTTTACAGCCGAGCTAGAGCTGCATTTAATACATGATGACACACCATTTTCACAACACACCATTTAATACATGATGACACACCATTTTCACAACACACCATTTCCATCAGTCACACACACACAACAAACACTTTAAACAAGAAGAGGATTTGCATACCTGAAGACTTATTCCACCCGAAATAACCCGCCCTGTCCTTTGACCGTTTTTTCGCACCTTAAGTGGATATAAGTTCTTCCTCTACATCCTCCTCCTCTTCTACATCAACAGCTTTCAACAAAGCTTCAGCAACCTATTGTTTTGACATAATACATTTTCCATCAGTCACACACACAACAAAACTTTAAACAAAGTACAACACATTCCATAATTGCACCGCACCTTAGCAGCAACAGCCCCAGCTCTTTTTTTAACTGGCATAATGTCCATTGCATCCCTTACATGTGGCCTACCATACGCCACATTCACACACTACAAAGAACACCCAACTCAGTCAGAACACCTAACATTATAAAAAAAAATTATTCAGATTATTTGCATATAATAGTAAGTTCACTTACCCCTAATTTTCCAAAATCACCTTTCGTATGACGGTCAGCCTTCTTGGCCATTGTTATCTCAGTTTCTGTCCACACTATCATTCGAGGGAAAAACTCCCTACTTCATTGGGGGTCGTTTCAACCGATCAAGATACATTATCTGAAAATAAAATTGTTGTCATCAGTTAACATGGTGTAGACACCTAAAAATGTCTCCCCAAAACCAAACTCAATGATAAATAACCTTTCACCGCCACTATTGGTCGGGTTTAGTATTTAATCCCGAGAGTGCTTAAAAAATCATATTTTATTAAATTCATACCTTTGAAAGGTCCATGGATTAGTCTTGGTGTTTGGTAAAGGCATAGTTTTAATTTGTTAATTAATTTTAAGCCCAAACCTTTTTATTTTATTATTTATTTTTGGCCCAAATATTTTATTTATTTTTATTTTATTATTTTCTTATTTTAGCCCGAATAATAAAATTCAGAAAAAAAGCCCGAAATTATCAATCGACACTTAAAAAGCCGAAAGAAATTAGGGTTAAAAATGAATTTAGACAGAAAAATGGACTGGAATTGACCGTGTCACGGTACATCCTGACCGTGTCACGGGAAATCTTCCCGTCTGACGGTGGGACTTCTCGTGACACGGGAGGTCTGCCGTGACACGAGAAGTTCCGTGTCCTTTCTGCGTAAACCCTTAACGCGTTTTCCGTTCCGTTTTCTGAAAATTTCCCGCGTCACTCCAAAACTGACCGTGTCACGGGAAGTTGTATCGTCTGACGGTACAGTCTGACCGTGTCACGGTACAGTTTGACCGTGTCACGGAATACTTTTTTAGGGTTTTTATCATTTTAGGGTTCCGTGTGCTCCCTCAGCACACTTCCCCATAAATACCCCCTCATTTCTGATGTACGGGGCAACCAGAATTCGATTATTCTTATTTTCTCTCTTCTATGCTATTAATCTAAACCCTAGCCTACCCTTTTCACTTCAAAATTCCTTCTTCAAGCACTCAAAGGAGTCCGTATTTTACTCGAAGTTTCGTCCTTAAGCCAAGGCGTGAAAGGTAGAATCGTTTGAGGGTTTGGCCCCAAAATCAACCTTATTTTATTTAATTTAATTTAATTTAGTTATTGTTTTATTATTTCCTTGAAGTTACTAACTCGTTTATTATTTTGTACTTGCAAACAAACAGATTCAAAGTAAGGATCATGTTCTTTTTATTATTATTATTTTTCTAACGATTCTTATGTTGTTGGAATTATGATTAAATTGGTTTTTATATTAATATTGATTCTATTATTTATTATGATCACCATATTGCATGTTTAAAGGGAATATGTAATTGAAAATCACGACTAATAAGATAATTTGGACAACCGGTTTAGGATCCTTTTAATCTTATTATTAATTCAAGTGATCACCAAATTTTTAGAATTATGTGTGCATTAATTTTAAACCAATTTAGTTAAATAATAGTTTGGAGCGAATTGAATTATTGTTTGTATGCCTTTGAGATCACATGAATGCTTTTCAATATAAGAATCGAGTAGAGGCCAATACGGGCGAATGTGACTCCATGACTCACTTCGTACAATCATCCCCGATCCTCCTTTCGTGGTCCGAACCATATGGAGTTAGTAATCTCATGGATTATGAATGGGGTGTAACCTTCACGGGTCAATCGTTGTTGCCTATCGTTGTCCCTTATCGTGGTTGCCTTTTTATGATCCGTGAACGGTTTACAAGTACCTAAAAAAAAACTTGTTAGCGGCTCCCTACTTTATTTGTCCCAAATCGTAATGTCAATTCCCACTTCCTATGAGTGTCAAGCATATTCACAACATGCTTTTAACGTAGGCACACTTTAAACGACGCCTACACATGGTATGTGATGGTAATGGTCTCATTATTAAGAAAAGGCAAACTAAATAACTTACCGACAGAAATATTGTACAGCCTCCACATCCTTTGGAATACCCCATTGGGTAAAACCTCCTTGCAAATCTCTTAATAGCATACATAAGTTGATCAAGGACTAATGTGCACCAATCATAGGATTGAGGCAGACTTGCTGCAATGGCTGCGGGTATAAGCTTAGGACAAAGCCTATAAGATATTGTAGGACACAAAATATCCACGCATGAATGCTATTCTAAACTCATAAACATCTTGAAGTGGAGCTTGAACTAACTCACTAAATTTTTCATATCTATCCCTTTCACATTGCTAGGTGTAGTCATGCTGAATCGGTTAATGACAACTTGAAGAAAATTTTCCATCTCTTCATCAAATGCTTCCTTCCGGACCGAAAAACTACCCCTTGGAATGCCAAGAACCCACTAGACTTGAACAGGGTCAAATGTAAACTCTAGCCCGTCCGGAGTAACAAGGCAATAATTAGGTACATCAACCCTTGTAGCAAGCCAATAAGCCAACTCCCTAGGAATTCTCCTATCAATTAAACCAAATAGTCTAGCAAATCCCATGTCCTTAACTATTTTCCTTTTTTCCTCACAAAATTCATTCAAAATCATACCAAACATCTCCACCCGACAATTTACATTTTCAGGCTGCACAAACAATATATACCAATAAGCCCACATTTAACCATAAAATTATAACAAAGCCATGCCACAATCAACCATAAGAAAAGATAAGACTTTTATATAACAAAGCCATTACACATTCAACCATAAACAAAGATAAGATCTTTACCCTTTTCAGCACCTCATTGCTTCTTTCGATAACTTTACCAAGTAGCTTAATCTTACCACCCTCACTAACTGTATTGTCCTACACTAATACATTTTAAATATATTCAACAACACTCCAATAAGGCAAACCACTATCATAGTCAAGTAAAATAAACAACTCACCATGTACACAACATAATCAATTTTCTTACAAACCTGTAAAACAAAAGGAAATATGCCATCAAACCTTAAAGGGGTAGAAATTTCAAATACACTATCATTCCTCAAAATTTGAAATCTAATACTTGTACAAGGTCGAGGTCATTATGGGAATACCTTAACCTCAACTCATTTAGTTATGGGAAAACCTTAACCTCATTCCTTAACCTCATCTCATTTAGTTACATAAAATTATTAATCAAATTAATAAATTATACATAAAATTAATAAATCAAATATACACACACATCACTTCAAATTTACACAATATTACAATTAGGCTTACAAAGTTACAAGTCTTACAACTATAGACAGAGGATGCATAACTTAAATTTTTAGATAGAATTGACTACCAACATTAATTAACCTCCTGCCTGCCATTTGCCTTGAACATCCTTATATTTCTAATGGCCCATAATTTCTAATGTCCATAATGATTTAATATACAAAATTGGCACAACCAGTTGCCTTCCTTATATTTCTAACTCATGTACCATGCTCTAGCCTTTAACGAAGACTTAAATATATAAAACTTTCTGTTAATTGGCGGATATTCCCGATTCAAATAAACCACTGAAGAGATAGGAAGGGATCAGATAATTTTTCCTTATGCGTTCTTTATAATGCCAAGAATAGGTCTCTTTATAATGCCAAGCATAGGTTGAAAATTTTTAAAGACAACTACACAATAACACAAGTATAGGTTTCTTTATAAGCATTATAAAGAAACCTTGTAAAGAAAGCCTGTCATGTTTCAGATATGCAAATACTTAACCCTACAATTTCAAATATGTTTCTGCTCATTAAAATTCTTTTAAACTCATTCATTAAAGGATACACACCAAGTGTTTCTAACTTCCTATCTTGGTTCTGCACTTCTGCTCACTCCCCTGCCTAAACCCTAAAATATCTGAAGATTACTGTTGAATTTATACGGCTACTACTTTTTGTCAATGGAAATACTTTACAAAATAGTGTTATCTAGGACTTAGATGACAATTAAAAGGAATAGAGTGTAAGAATGAAGACCACACTTTGATTCACAACAGCTCAAATCTAGGTCCTATAATGGTGTCATATTAACCATGGAGCTATGAAAGTTTTTCAAGTAAAAAACCATCTTTCACATGAATCACACAACATGTCATAAGCTCTGAATCCTGCAGCAAAGAGGATAAGAGCAACAGCTTCAAGGGGGAAAAAAAGAAAAATCAAAATCAAAATGTAAAGGACAAGGCATGTATAATTGTATATAATTAGGCAATGACTTCAACTGTCATTTTGCTCCAACCAAAATATAAGCACAGACTTCAGCCGATAATTCAATGCAACGAATAATAGTTAAATTCATCAAGGACCCTAACCCTATAAGTCACAAAGAAAGTCTTTTAGCATAACAAAGAAGTAGAAGGGTATTAGTAATCATTCAGTAAGTCATAAATCTCATCCACCCCACATGTATGTAAAAAGCTAAATAATAGGATTTTGATTCAAAATAGCCCTTGAATGCTAAGCATAGGTTGAAAATTTTAAAAGACATGAGGGAGCACCAATTTCAGCTACAAAAGGTCTGAAACTAATTACTCAGTTATGCAGCAACAATCATCAATCAAATTTACGCCATAAATCAAGCCCTAGGTAGGCACAAAAGCAATATAATTAATTAATATTAAACTACATTAAACCCTACACTAAACCAATCTCCAAATTTAGTTTTGTCACCACATTAGTCACCACAAAAAATTAGTCACATTTTGTCACTTCAACAAACTAGTCACATTATAAAAAAAAAAAATAAAAAAAAAAAATTTAACATCAACAAATATAATACCTAACATACTCAATTCAACCGTACTATTCACAGTATTACTAACATCCTCAATTACTAACATGCTCAATTATATAAAAGCATTAAACAAATTCCATTTTAATGGCAAACCCAGTACTCCACATACACAAATTCAATTATAATCATCAACAAATTCCATTTTAATGGCAAACGAACTACCTACTCAGGCCACAATTACCTTTTCGGCGACTGTAGATGGCGCACGCCCACCACAATTCGCACGCCCACCAGATTGCGAACCCCGGCCACCTCTTCGTCCTCCCCTACCACCCTTTCTGCCACCTTATACAGAAAAATCCTAGTTTACAAAACCCTAAAAATTCGAAATTCAAAGTTTCCATTCAAATTAATAGCTTGGTTTACCTGCTATGGCACGACAACTGGTAAATGTATGTAATAATCCTTCCAATTATGTTCCGACGAAGCAATTTGACAATGTAACGATCTGTATAGTACTTTGACTTTTGTCGCAAATTACAGGATCTCAAAAACCGCTCTTCAACAGGGCAAAAACGACACCATAAATCACAACTTTCCACACCCTTTTATGCTTTCAAATCGGCTGTTTTCTGCTAGGGTTTATGGCAATCTTTCCGACGATTTTTCCGGCCACGAATTTTCGAGAGAGAGAAGGACCAATTTTTATAGCGCAGTAAGTTTATGGAAGAGGAGAGGGAAACATTTTTTTACATCAGTAATAACACTGGGTTACTGCCATGTGTTATACAAGAAATGACTTTTTTGCCCTTAGTATGGGACACACGTGCCCCTACCGGATAGCGGTCCATCACAGCTCAAATTGCATAAACCAAGAGTTTAGAGAGAAAAACAAGAGAGAGGAAAATCTAAGAGTTTAATTAGAAGAGAGAGAGAAAGAGAGTAAGAAGAAGTTAGAGAGAGAAAGAGAAAAGAAAACTAAACCAAACTAAACTAAAAGAAAAAAAGAAAACTAAAAAACTACCTAATCTAAGGCTAATCCTCCTAACCTACGTACTACTACTCCTTTTATATGAATTATATCTAATGGAGTAATAGGATAGAGAGTTTGATAGAAAGTCAAACTACTACTCCTAAACCCACTAAAACTACCTCCTAGATCGACACAATCATCAATCATCAGCAAAATCAACGTGAGCGGCCCAATTGTGTAGGCCCAAATGTACTAAAGGTGTCCGCCCGACCGGGCCTGGCCTCGCCCTATCGGGCCCGATCAGCTGGAGCTACGAGCTGGGCCTTGTGGCTTCTTTTGCTTAGGGTCCATTTCTTCTCAATTGGTCCTATGCACCTAAGATAGGTGCAAAAAGGGAAGGCCCAAAATGAACATTTAATAACCCAGACAACATATCCGCAATACGCCAAAATCAACACTACGTTCTACAAAATGAACATTTAGTAAAAAAATATGAACATGAAAAAAATGAACATTTAATAATAAAAATGAACACGTAAATAAATGAACATTTAATACTTATAATGCATATGTTTCATAATCATATTATTTTTTATTTCTTCAAATTTTTATGTTCATAATTAAATGCATTATATTCATAATCATATTTTATATATTCATATATAATTTCAAATATTCATAATGTAAATATGTGTTGTTCATGAAATATTAATTAAATCTGTTTATGCAAATGTTGTCTTTCTTAAATGTTTATGTTCATATTTTTTTACGTATATGTTCACCTTTTAAATCCTTATATTCACTTTAAGAAAACCAATACTTACGTTCATATTGTGAAATGTTATGTTCACATTCTGAAATGCATAAGTTTATATTTTTTATGCCAATGTGTCACTTTCTGAAAAGCTAATGTTCACATTTAAGGGAACCTATGCATATGTTCATATTTTGCATGATTATGTTCATTGATAAAAAAAATGCAGAAAATCGGATAAAATTCAAATCATTAGAATTAAGAAAATCATATACTACCTCCGTTAACATTTAGTTGTAACTTTGGAATATTTTATGTCTCTCAAATAATACCCCAGAGTTGGAACTAAATGTTAACGAAGTTAGTATAACCTAATCAATCGAAGTTAATCACAGAGTCACCACATAAGAAATCGAAAATCACACATATTCATGCCTATGTTCATTTTCTAAAGATCTAATGTTCATATTTTTTATATCTATGTTCACTTGCTAAAAATCTAATGTTCATATTGTGCTGTTGTTACACCTATTTCTAGATGCATGAGTGTGCACCTAAGAATATGTCATTTCTTCTTTCCTTCATACTTGGTCCGCAATACTTGATTGGTCCATGATAGTAATATAACATTGAAACTTTGCACCTCTTTACTTAATCGAGCCCTTAATTACCGAACTAAATTTCTCTAACTCGACCTTCAGCTTCAAGTATTTGGTCATAAAATATAATCCGTCTCTAATGTTTTCGTAGTTACTTAAATAAGCTCGGGAATTGCCGTAAATCTACAAATTCCTACAAAATAATACAAACTCTACAAAAACACTAGAAAACGTATATTAGTAATAAAAATAGCTCCGTAGAGCTCAAATAAGTACAAATATGACCACGAGACAGGGAATAAAATATATATATATAATAGACTCATCATATTTACAAAAGTATTAGAGATATTTAATTAAATCTTTTATATGTTAAGAAAATCTTGCTAATTTTCTACTTTAGAAATGTTTTTGGTGCTAATTTAATTTTTATATTTACGCATTTATCATTTTGTTAATTTTTTTTGGATATGAATGTATTATTTTTAAATTTTAACCTTATGTTATTTCAATAAAATAATTTTACACTCCCTAAGAATTGTGTAATTTTTATATGAGTTCCAACGATGTGTCATTTTGAATTGAACTTTATATTATTTTTCTAAACTATATAATGTTATTTTGCTTAAACATTGTGTTATGTATTTTATTAGTCTTTTGTTATTTTAGTTTAAATCATATGATCTTTCTAAGTATGAGGTTATTTTTCTCAAACTTGATGTTATTTTTTTAAAATATAAATTATTTTATTATATTAATTATATATTGTATTATTTTGCCAAAAAGTTGTATCATTTTGTTAAAAACTAATTTTACAAGTTGTAGCTAGCTAAATAAAAACAGAGAACAAAATCGAAAGAATTATTAAGGCAAGAAAAGAAAATAAATAGAACCAAAATATTAGTAGAGATGGATATATAGAGAACATAACATATAATATTATGCAACAAAAAATTTCAATCAAATAACATATAATTTAGAGAATAATAACATAAGCATATGATATAATGTAACAAAAAGTTTTCAATATTATGTAATAATAACATATAATATTATGTAACAAAAAGTTTTCAATCAAAAAGTTTTAAATCAAATATCCACACTAAATAACATTAAATAATTTAATAACTAGTGAGAAGGCCGGGTGTTGGCCCGAGTTTCTACTTTTGTAAACATGCGTGCAATTGAGTTTTTTTTTCAGTAAGGATTTTGAAATCTGATATCGACATGACATTATTGAATGTGTGTTGACGTGGCGTAATTTAAAAGGATCTACGTATATACAAAGTGAAATAATCAGAATCTTACATCGGAATAACATAAAATGTACCCAGTACCTCGTGCATAGTACTCCAAGGGTATAAAAGAAATTGTCTTGAAGGTTATAATTTTTTTATATAAAAATAGTATTAATATTTGGGTCTAACTATTGAAGTATAATAGTAATTTACGATGCTGCTGGGCCCGATAAATAAAAATAATTAAGTTGGCCGAAACTGACCAAATAAGTTTTCACTTAACCCAAAATCATCATTAATTTATTATACATATATGAAATACTCTCTCAAAAAACCCAAATACCCTTTTGTGATATAATTTTATTTTTGAAAGAAATTTTTAACGGATATAGGGGTGCTAATTGAGTTGAGTAGTTCGCGAGCAACTCGAGATCGACTCGGTCAACGCCCGGTCAAAACTCGACTCTAGTTGGCTCGAATCGACTTGAAACCTTAACGAGCATGAGTCGAGCAAGGTATAACTCGACTCGATAAGCTCGCGAGCAGCTCGATAATATTTTATTATTAAAATATTATGTAAAATTCACATAAGAAAAGTATTAAAAAACATGGCATATATATTAAAAAAAAATAAAAAAAAAGGTACTTCGTAATTCACTCCTCCTCAAGTCCTTAGTATTGCATGTTTGTTTAGGGGGATAAATGGAGAGGGATAGGGATTTGGGGAAAAGGATTTTAAAATCTCATGTTTGTTTCTAAGGATTGAGATTAGAGAGAGGGATATGACAAAGCAAAATCACCTTTTATCCCTCAATTTCTATACCTTGGCGGGGCATTTGGCGACAGGGATAGGGAATTAATAGGTGGGATAAGGATAAAAATTATGTTATCCATTATTTGGTAAGATTTGGGAATTAAATTGGGATAAGTGGTAAAATTACATAATTATCATTACTAACATTTCTCCTATCCCCTCTTCCTTTCCTTTCATTGAGGGTAAAACTGTCTTTTACATTTCAAAATTAATCCCTACACCTTATATCTGCCCGACTGCCCCCCTTGTTACAAAAATAGAGGGATAACTCTAATTTTTTTTATCCCTATCCCTTTCATATGGGATAGGACAATTCTCATTAAACAAACAAGGGATTATAGGATATAACTCCCTATCCCTCCTATAATCCCTACAAACAAACATCCTCTCGGGGGGTTGGAATAAGAATAAGGGATGGAGATTTATAATTAAAATGACATTTATATCCTTAATGAAGAGAAAAAAAAATAAAGGAGAAAGATAGGGTTAGTAAGTGCATATTCGTAACTTTGTTACTTATTCTACTTTTATTCCTAACTTATACTACTTTCGTTTTTTTTTAGTTGACACATATTTCTTTTTAGGAAGTTTTATTTTTAGTTGACACGTTTCCATTTGTGGTAAATTTTTTATCTTGTATTTACAAGCTACCACACTTATTTTTTTATTCTCTCTCACTCTCTCTCCTCTCCTATTCCTAACTTATACTACTTTTTTTTACTTGACACGTATTCCTTTTTCGAAAGTTTTTTTTAGTTGACACGTTTCCATTTAAGGTAATTTTTTTACCTTGTATTTACAAGCTACCCCACTTACTTTTTTATTCTCTCAGAAGTACTAAATAAAGGATAACACTTTATTTAATCCATATCCCACCCAAAATTCTTTATCTTTATCCTATCCTTCTTATCTACTCCCTCCGTTTTTAAATACTTGCTCCATTTCTTTTGGACAAACATGCCGATGCTAATCTTTGATCACTAATATCTTTAATTATCAATAAGTATAAATTCTAATAATTGAAAATTAAAAATCTATTCATTGAGATGATTCCAACAAGTACCCACAAGACTATATTTTTTCTTATGTATAAATCACAAACATTAGTCAAAGTAGGACAAATGAATAGTGCAAAAAATAGAAATGGAGCAAGTATTTAAAAATGGAGGGAGTAAATGTTAGAAATAGGAATCTAGTAAAAGGACTTTTCGTATCAAACTATTCATCTAGCCGCTTGTATCCTACTCAAGAACTCAACCATCCTTCAAAATTTTCTCAAATCTCGACTTCTCAAGTAAAGCTCATAAAGGACATCAATTATTGAAGAAGGAAAAAGAGATCAAGATAGACAATTTTGACAAAGAACAAACTTTTAATTTTGTAAACACAAATTTTGAGTCTGCGAAATAGTCAAAATAAATGCAACAAATATAATTTTTATTAATATAACAAATTTGAGAACAATCTCTAATGTAATCCACTGATTCGATTCCTACGCTACGTTGTTAGATGACTCGATTTGTTGTAGTCAAAACTGAAATTCCTTGATGGAGGGCGAAAAGGCTTGATCTTGATCAAGGTTGGTCTTCTAGAATTGAACGACACGTCCGGTGCTTGTTGTTCTCTTCTAGTTCTTGAGATTGGTTTTTAGATAAGTTTAGAGAGGGTTTTTGAGTAGAGAGGTTTTTTTGTAGAGATGTTTTTCTTTGGATTTTTCATGTCTATGAAATGAGGGGGGAAAGTTCTATTTATAGAGTTTTCCCAAGTTAGGGTTTTAAGGTGACCACTA